AGAGAGAGAGAGAGAGAGAGAGAGAGAGAGAGAGAGAGAGAGAGAGAGAGATACTTTCTGAATTGAATGATAGAAAGAAAACATGAAAAGGCAGGACTCCCTGCGAGCAGCAGCTGCTCACACAGCGCAAGTGATTTTCATTGGCAAAACCATTACTACGTCATAGATCTGCATGAGGTGGGTGCCGGCTGTAACGCAAATAAAACCCGGTCCCTGTGCTAGTCTCCTGGCAGTATCCCTCTTCTAACCACAGATTCACTTCCTCAGAACTCAGGGCTTCCGCAGACTTCAGGTGGGTTCTTTTTCATTTGAACTATTTTTTAAAGTAGAGCATACTTTTCAATTGACCAGTTGCTACCAAAAAGGCGTGAGTGTAATAATTACGATGGGTTCAAACGAGTTTCCCTCTTACAAAAGATTAGCTCAAATTGATTTTGTCAATGAGTCTACAGCAAAAATATTTAGATCTAGATCTATATCTTGCCGATCGGGTAGAAACGAATGGGTCGATAATCCAGTAAAAAAAATTCTGAGTATCATCATAGTATTTGTATTCTTCTAAACAACTGAATGATTTCTCGGAATTTTGATGATAGGAGTTACGAAAAACCACATCGATCTAATTTGCTTCTGTCACGCCCGGGGCAAAGCGTTATTCACATTTTAATAATCACAGCTTGGACTTCCGGTTTGACCTGGCTGGTGGCCGGTCGGTTATTCAGTCGCTCCCTTCCATACTTTGAGAACACCGTGGCGACAAATGCAACCGCAGACGTAGGCAAAATACATCTAAATAAACATTTAGGACATGATCAACGGTGAGCCTTGTGAAAATCACTCCAGTGTTTCATTGATGCCAGTACTGAAACACCCTCTTCGCCCCTTTCGGGCCTCACTTGTAATAAACAATTGCAAATATACAAGCACTGATATTATAAGGTACTTCAAAAAGATAAAGGGAATTAACTCGAAACGAGCTTGTGGACACTGTGAATATATTTTTTTCCCTCGAATTTTAACTGACATGTAATCAGGTCATGGCATGATTATGGTATCAACTTCTGGCCAAAAAAGGCTGGATCAAGACAGCCAAATTTGAAATCAAATCAATAATGATACATGGTGTGTCTAAAAAAAAGAGGAGATTACCACTTAAAGGACAATAACTAAATCCTCTTTGTATCAATTTCAACAAAATATTTATTAAATTTTAACAAACAGTATTGAACCACGGGAACATCAAGTCTATAAATAGGAAGGAAATCAACCAAAGTATACGAGAAATATCAACTTTAAAAAATGTCAACCAAAATTCGCTGAAACGCAAAATTATACTTCTTAATAAAAGCGTTCAGCTACAGGGGCATGATTGGCTTAGTTCTAGGACAAGGATGGTAAATCCATGACAGTCACATCAGATTGATATCTCACGGTGCTGAGAAAGTTTTGCTGAAGTTCGGGGAAGGGGTGTTATGCTGTAAAGGACTGGCTCCAGTAAGATGGGTCCTCGCCCCACATGTCAAAAGCGGCCCTCGTGTAGTTGTAAGAAAGGTTCAGGGAACGCCTTATAAGCCGAACGTTTACAAATGAATGATCACCACATTCTTCCTAACTTGAGCCCTTTCAATTATTACCTTTGGGGTGGGTTTTTTTTCACAGAGTCTACGGAAACAACCCACAAACAATCGAACAGTTGAAACGCAATGTTAATCATGACATCCAAAGAATCGACCCAGAAACACGCCACTGGGCCATTTAAAATTTCCAGTGGCATACGGAAGCTAACAGTTGGAGAAATCGTCAACACCTGGAGATTTAGATAGCCTTCACCTTCCTGGATTTATTTGGCAGTACATGTATTAATTTTGTACAAATGTGTTCCTCACTGCACAAATAGTGACTATTTGAAATAGAACTGTGGTTAGCTGTGTGATTCTCGGGAAAGTAGTCGAGTACGGTAGGCTACCTATTGACATTGAAGAAAACAAGGACAGGCCGAGGCGTGAGCCACGGACTTTTGAAGACTGCGTGAGTAGCGGTCGAGGCGCAGAGCACAGAGTTGAGTTGGGTGTGCATAGTTAAACCACATGCGTGTATAGTTAAACTGCAAGCTATTTCGGCGAGGTGCTCTATCTAGAGCCAGATATTAAGTGCTAGTGATGGCATCGAAAATAACGACGGACATGATCAAGCCTTTCAGTGGCAATAGTGATGTTGTAGCATGGTTGGCTAGTTAAACTCGTCGTGGGTTTGAAGAACATTCAGGATCTTGCGAAATTTGTACCGTTGTTCCTGGAGGGTGATGCATTGGCGTTGTACTTACAGCTTAGTGAGCTCGAAAGATCACAATATGAGACAATTGAGAAGCGTCTTCTAGAGGCATTCACAGACAGCTCATTTGTTGCGTTCAGTAAGTTGACACAGAGGAGGTGGGACGGTGAACATGTTGATGTATTCGCGAACGAACTAAGGAGATTGGGAGGATTGGCTGGATTTTCAGGCAGCGAACAGGATAGGCTGGTTAGATTGTCCTTTGTAAATGGATTCCCTGACCCGATATCGTGTGAGCTCCAACAGATGAGCCGGGTCTTCGAAGTTGAACTGTCAGAGAATCCTTACAGCAAGTAAGACTGGAATGGTCAGCGTTGCGGCGGCAGGCGGAGCCATGGCAAACGAAATGGGAAGCCACAGTCAACGTGTGAGGGCATTTAAAGGTTATTGTTATCGATGTGGTGGACCACATATGGCTAAGTTTTGTAGTCATCGTGCTGACATTGTTTGCTACCACTGCAATGAAGTTGGGCACATCGCCAGTCGATGTAGTCAGAGGGGAAACGGTGCCTATCAGAAGAAACAGGAAAACTACTTCGGGTGGCTGCTGCGCCGGCAGCTACCCGTTTGAAATGAGGGCGCAGTCTTTACCGATAATTCAAGTTGGCGTGAAGTGAGCTAAGGTCAAAGCATTGGTAGATACAGGTTGTATGGTCACATTGGTCAGTTCACAGATAGTTGGAAATTGCGTGGGCGAGAACTATATGGTAGCTTTTGATGGTTCACGAGTGCAGTGTCAGGGGAAGAAAGAGCTAATCATTGACGTGCGAGGTGTCTCGGTCTCCGTAAATGCAATTGTCTCAGATTCTATTCTGTCTGATATTGATGTGGTGCTGGGAATGGATGCTATAAACAACCTGGGAGGAGTTTGTCAACCATGGTACATTTGAATTTGGTGTCAAATGGTGTGGGGCAGCGGAAATGGAAACTGAATCTGATCCCCCAGACCAGGCAAAGGGGAACGTGAAGCGAGCAGAGAGCGCTGTTTACGAACACAGGGAGGTTGAGGTTATTGACGACAGTGATTTTAAGGCAGTTTTTGATGGCAATACATGGACAGTAGAGTGGAAATGGAAAAGGGATCCTCCCCACCTGAAGAATAAGATTGGATGTTATGGTAAACAGATGGATATGAAGACTACAGAAGGGTTTGAGAAAGAGATACAAAGTCGGATAGAGGAAGGAATACTTTTACCATGGAATGAGAAAGTAGAAATATGCATAATTCCGCTGATGGCTGTTGTTCAACCTACCAAGAACAAGGTAAGATCTGTCCTTGACTACAGAGAGCTAAAAAAATATGTAAGTAGTCACACGGGGGGTGACTTCACGGATGTATGCAGCGAGACATTGCAAGAGTGGAGACAGACGACAGGTGCAGCAACGATTGTCGACCTGAAAGTTGCTTACCTTCAAATTCGGGTGTCACAAGATCTATGGAAATATCAACTAGTGAATTTCAAAGGTAAAACATATTGCCTGACAAGACTTGGATTCGGTCTTACATCGGCACCCCGCATCATGACGAAGATCTTGAAAACGGTATTGAGTAAGGATGAGAAGATAGACTCTGCCACGCAGTCCTACATTGATGACATTCTGCTGGATGAGAGCAAGGTAACATCTGCTGCACTGGTGAAGCACCTGGCCAACTATGGGTTGACAACGAAAGAACCAGAGCCATTGGATGGTGGCGCTGCATTAGGTTTGAAGTTGAAATCTGATTCCACAGGAGATCTCATATTTTCCAGAGCCAACAGGATTCCCCATGCAGTGTCTAAAGTCACCAAACGGGAGTTGTTCTCGATCTGCGGAAAACTTACAGGTCATTATCCGGTTGCTGGATGGTTAAGGATAGCATGCAGCTACATAAAGAGAAGGGCAAATGGTACCAATTGGGAGGAGATCGTAGACGATGAAGTGGAGAAAATGTTGAAGGAAATGTTGAGCCGTTTGACTAATGAGGATCCCGTCAAAGGCAAATGGTACGTGCCTAAAGCAACCAAAGGAACCGTATGGTGTGATGCTAGCAGTATCGGATATGGTGTGCTACTTGAGGTCAATGGCAACGCGGTAGAGGATGCTGCATGGCTTCGGAAACCTTCAGATTTTGATCATATCAACGTAGCAGAGCTGGAGGCTGTGATGAAAGGTGTAAACATGGCCATCAAATGGAACATCTCTGAAATCGAAGTTATCACTGACTCAGCAACGGTGGCTGGTTGGATCAAAACTGTTCTATCGGAAGAGAGGAAAGTGCACACCAAAGGGGCAGCGGAGTTGATTGTGAAGAGATGATTAGGGATATTGAAAAGCCTTGTTAATGAGTTTGGTCTGGTTATGTCGGTCACCTTGGTTCCGACCAGAAAGAACAAAGCAGACATTCTGACAAGAGTGAAAAAGGAGTGGTTAAGCACTGGCGGGTATGGAATGGAGAAGGGAGAACCAGAACCATGCGTTTTGTGCTACTGGCCATCTTGACTTGAAAGACTTGCACGATATGCACCATATGAAGGTACACCGTACTTTGTATTTGGCTCGGAAGGTGCTACCAGAAACGAGCCGTGCTGATGTTTAAAAAGTCGTACAAGCTTGTGAGCAATGTCAGTCTATCGATCCTGCACCAGTTGTCCATGAGGCGGGCAACCTAGATGTCACTACAGACTGGACAAGATTGGCAATAGACATAACTCACCATCATCAAGTGCCATACCTGTCAATTGTTGATTGTGGCCCAGGGCGATTCGCAATTTGGAAGAAACTGAAGAGAGAGAGAGAGAGACAACAGGGTTTGTGACGGAAGTAGTTGAAGAACTCATGTTTGAGAGAGGACCAGAGCGCGAGATCTTAATGGATAATGGCACAGTGTTTCATTCAGATTGTTTTTGGCAGATGCTTCAGAAATGGAATATCAAACCATTGTTCAAAGCTGCATATAGGCCTACGGGGAACGGGATTGTTGAGAGACATCACCGTGCAGTGAAGTCCATTGCAGAAAGAGGAAACATTTCCCCCCAAGAAGCTGTGTTTTGGTACAACTCAACACCAAAAGCAGGTTTGGACCCAGCATCAGTGCCACAGAGAGCGGTCTACCATTATGATTGGAGAAAACATATCGTTGTTAATGAAGAAGAAGACGGGCAAGGAAGATTTGAAGTTGGAGATGATGTTTGGGTTAAACCACCCCAGAGCAAATGTACGACGAAGTGGAATAGAGGTACGGTTACAGGAGTAAACTCGATCAACAATGTTGCTGTCGATGGTATGGCTCGTCACGTTCTCGATGTTAGAAGAGTGGTACGAGATGTAACTTCAGAGGAAGAGGATGATGAGGGAGGTGGCAGTGAGCAGCAAACATTGCAGACCCTGACGAGAAACGAAGGTGCAGGTGATCCCCCTCCCAGGCGGTATCCTGATCGAGTCAGGAAAACCCCCGGTTGGTTGGTGGACTATGAAACTCAGTAAATGGAGTAATCAAGTGTACAAAGTGTAGATAGCGTTGAACCATGTCCTGTTCGCACGTTGAAGAACTTCAGAAAGTTTTTGTTGTTGTTGTTGTTTATTTTGTTTTGTTTGATCTTGAGATCACGGGGGCGTGTGGTTAGCTGTGTGATTCTCGGGAAAGTAGTCGAGTACGGTAGGCTACCTATTTGACATTGAAGAAAACAAGGACAGGCCGAGGCGTGAGCCACGGACTTTTGAAGACTGCGTGAGTAGCGGTCGAGGCGCAGAGCAGAGAGTTGCGACCAGTCAGTGCAAGTTGGATCGCTACATGAGGTGGGTGTGCATAGTTAAACCACATGCGTGTATAGTTAAACTACAAGAACAATGGTTGATTTTTACGAAATTGCCGAGTTTTGCGTTTCACTCAAGTTTGGTTGAAATTTTAAGACTTGATATGTGAGGCAGCGTGGTGGAATCAGGCTCTCGTCAAAATAATCAAAGTGAAGAAACTTGCATTTTTCCACAGGTTTGTGAATTTTTATAAAATTGTTGTTTTTTGGCTCAACACCTTTCCTGCCCCTTAAAAAACTCATTTCTATGTGGATTTTTCTGAAAAACGTCGATTAAAGGCACACAAAGTCTAAATTTTCAGTTACCACGGACTCTTGAGATAAGGAAATAACTAATCTTTGGTGGCCATTTTCTCACTAATTTTACCTCTGAAAACAGATGACCCCCATCTCCTTCATTCGCTAATATCTCGACTTTTATTATAGATAGTCTAGATGATTTTTTTTTCATCCAAATAAAGACGAGTGAACAAGCTTTAAGATGATACCAATAACTACATGCCCAAAAATTGACGATAGCCTGATTCCACCACGCTGCCTCACATATTGTTCGAACAAGTTGATTGATTTTTTTAAGACTGACAAATGTAACGACCCTTTGGTTGAATTTGATTTCCTCGAAGTTTTTGTGGATATTAGTTGAAGAAACGACGAGTCATTGCCTTTTAAATGGGCCCTCTTTTTTAAAAGACACCTGGTACCATTTGGACCTTAGATTCTTGGCTGTCTGTTTGCATTCAATTTTTGAGTTGAATCTATTTTATGAAAATCCTGAGAACATCATACCTACCGCATGTTTAGAATTAGAATCAACACAGTGTTCTACCCAAAATAGGAATAATAAAAACAAAATTAGTATCTTCCTAATTATTGTGACGGGAAATTAAAGTAATCTTGTATTGATAAGCCATGAGAAACTCCTTATCGGAATTAATGGACGGACCAAATTGATACAGAGAATAGGATCTTAATCAAATAAAATATTATGATGGTCATTCCTTTATTATCAAAGCTTGATGTTTGCGTTATGTTTGTGATATTGATATGTAAATATCATAATTTGTTTGATGTTCGAGTCCTGTGTAAGTCGTGTTTGTGAACACAAGGGCTGTATTTCTGCTTTTTAGTAAAAGTTTTACCGCACTTGCAACACAATAAAGTCGTATAAGGGCCGAAGAGTAGAATTTTTACAAGAGAGTAACAAGCACACACAAGGAGGAGGTGAGATCAGGACGAAAAGTGTGTGATAGATCTAGAAAAGAAGGAATTTACCTCTTCAGAGAACCTGCAACCCACCTGCATACAGGTAGAACCATATTTCTGTGATGTCAGAGTCCTGTCTAAGTTATGTTTGTGAAATGTTTGTGTTGTATTTGTATGACGTTTATGTAAATCTTTTTGGGACAATGTTGTTGTATTTTCAGCAGACTATAAGTCTTTATCATGTCTTCCAAGCCGGTACACATCCTGAGTCTTTCTGACCCAACGGTGCTAGAATTGCAGCGTGCTCTCAAGCTAGCACAAAACACGGGAGCTTCCCCAGATGTGATTAAATCAATCAAGATGGCGTTGGAGCTGGTGGATCTCCGGGAGAAGTACACTGATTCGGTCACCAGTGGAGAGACGGAAGTTTGCCAAAAGATCCTCGCGGAGACCTATAAGCATGACTGGAAACGTTTGCACGCAGATGGGAAAATCAAGGTGGATCTGTCGCCCGTGATGATGACAGGAAAATTGGAAGGTTTACATTTTTGTTGTGTAAAACAAGCCGATCTTATTAAAATGTGGTCAAAAATTTATGGTGCAAAGTATTGTCAAATATCCCTTCAACTGTTGAACATGCTTTATCCAACTTTTGCTCAGTGACTTCGGTATCACTTTGTCTAAAGAGGTCAACATTTTTGTCAACAATTACTGCTAGTTGTATTGTAAGATTAAAAAATAAAAATAAACGCTGATAAAAAATGTCTAGGTTGATGGTTTCTACAGATTGTAAAAGGTTTACAGCTTGGGCAATACCGCTTTTAAAGCAAGCCCGTCATTTGTTTCTAATCGCGATACTATGCTTATTGAACCCTTGTTTTTGAGAACATATAGCGCAAAATATGTAATCACTATAAAATTAATTTCTTGTAACAAGTTCTGCCGCTAAATATTGCCACTGGTGAGCAGTGACCTAGGCCGTATGTGTATGCAACATTTGTGGGATAAGTGAGAAGTACTGCTAACAATCCCATTTTACGCGTGACGGAGATTAACAGTTGGGTTGTTTTTTTTTCAACATAAACTTATGAAGAAACATTTTTTTGATGTAGCCTCAGTTGTTATGGAAAAATATTATTAAGTAAAGATAAATTGATCCAAACTGCTGTGCAAAGTATGGGTGATATTGATTAACCCGTTAAAGAGATATTTGAGAATAAGTTGTCCCACTAAATTTTGACCGCATTATAATAATCTCTCTCTCTGTCTGTCTGTCTGTCTGTCTGTCTGTCTGTCTGTCTGTCTGTCTGTCTGTCT